GCCAAAGCATATGCAATTTCTACCAGCATTAAAAATAATTTGACTCAGCCTCAAACAAATGACCAATTAAAACCAAATCATAGTGATAATATAATTTAGGCCAAATTTTATAAATTTTGTTATTTAAAGTGCTAATACTGCACGAATTTTGAGGACCATAAGATATTGGCTCAATATCAATTTTTCAAATGCAGCAATTTGATTGGTTTTTAAAAAATAAAATCCAAAGTCACTTTTTTATTATATATTTAATTTCAAGCAAAAATAAATATAATTCCTTCCAGGTAAAAAAAAATTCAGGCCAAATTAAAATATTTTATTCTTGTTTATCAATTGTATTATTTTTAAAAAATACAATCGCTTTTTTAAATTGCATTCATTCGAATTATTTGAATTAATTTCTTAATTTAGAATAATTTAAATGACGTGCAAGAAAACCTTATGAATTGTTGTTTTGCAATAGTAGATAAAATAAATAATCTACCGGTAATTTTAAATCTATTAAAATTAAATCTATGAATTATAATTGCATTCCTGCAAATTATTTGAATTTAGTACTTGATTTTAGAATAATACAAATGATGTGTAAGAAAAACCTTATGAATTGTTGTCTAGCAATAGTAGATAAAATAAATAATCTACAGGTAATTTTAAATCTATTAAAATAATCTATGAAATATATATACTAAGCATGGTTTTGTTAGGCAACAATCTCCATATTGTATAAATTTAAACTAAAAATTCACAAATTGTATATCACTTAAGACGGAAAATGTCAAATAATTCTTCTAGCTATGAAAGCGATTTAGAAAATTCTATCGTACTAAATGTTAATTTAGATGCTTTAAAAAAGTCAGCATCAAATGTGTTTCAAGTACAATGTACCTCTATACAAGAATTTAACGAAGGTGGATTTCATAAAGTATATATCTTAAAGGTGGAAGATGGTAAAAAATATATTGGAAGATTAGCAATCTCTGTAAATCCACAATGGAAGACAGAAAGTGAGGTGGCAGTTATGGAGTATATTCGTTTAAATACGCATATCCCTGTTCCCAAA